CGACCCGTCTGTTCCCTTTTCCCGGGGGATGGAGCTGACGCGGGTGTCCCTCATTCTGTGGTGCGGTTCCGACCCGTCTGTTCGCTGTGCCCGTGGCATGGGGCTGACGCGTGTGTCCCTCATTTTGTGGGATCGTTCCGACCCCGCTGTTCCCTTTTCCCGGGGGATGGGGCTGCGCGGGTGTCCCTCATTTTGTGGGATGGTTCCGACCCGGCTGTTCCCTTTTCCCGGGGGATGGGGCTGACGCGGGTGTCCCACATTTTGTGGGGTGGTTCCGACCCGGCTGTTTGTTTTCCCGGAGGATGGGGCTGACGCGGGTGTCCCACATTTTGTGGGATGGTTCCGACCCGGCTCTGTTCCCTTTTCCCGGGGGATGGGGCTGACGCTGGTGTCCCACATTTTGTGGGATGATTCCGACCCCGCTGTTCCCTTTTCCCAAGGGATGGCTCTGAGCCCCGCATCCCCCGGGATGTCTGTGGTGTGGCTGTCCCTGCTGTTCCCCATCCCCAGGCACGACTCTGATCTCGCTATCCCTGTCTGGTGTGGCTCTGACCCAGCTGTCCCCTATCTCTTGGGATGGTTCCGACACGGCTGTTCGCTGTGCCCGTGGGATGGGGCTGATGCTGGTGTCCCTTATTCTGTGGGATGGTCCCGACCCCGCTGTTCCCTTTTCCCAAGGGATGGCTCTGACCCCTTTGCCCCGCATCCCCCGGGATGTCCGCGGTGTGGCTGTTCCGTTCTCCCAGGGGATAGCTGTCCCTGCTGTCCCCCATCCCCAGGCACGGCTCTGATCTCCCCATCCCTGTCTGGTGTGGCTCTGACCCATCTGGTGTGGCTGTCCCCCATCCCTTGGGATAGCTCCGTCCTGTCTGGCCCAGTTGTCCCCCCGGCATGGCTCTAACCCAGCTGTCCCGCTTTCCGTGGTGGTGGTGGCACTGACCCCGCTGTGCCCCATCCCCTGGGAAGCCTCTGGCCTGGTTGTCAGTGCCCCGGGTGGCTCTGACCCGCTGTCCCCGTCCCCAGGAGCCGGAGCAGCGGCTGTGGGAGGCCGAGCGCCGGGAGCGAGCCCTGCGCGGCCGCCTGGCCTGCCTGGAGGAGCAGAACCGCCAGCTCCTGGGGCAGCTGGCGGAGAGCCAGTCCCAGGAAGGTGCGTGTCCCCGCGGGTTTGGGGTCCCCTGATGCCACAGGGTGTCTCTGTGGAGCGGCAGGCTGGGTGCAGGGCTGAACCTGTTCTTCTGGAGCCTGGAATGCTGCTCTCCTTTCTCTCACCTTGGAGACCTGTCCTAGCAGGGAGCTTTGGCATTACCTTGTTCTGCAAATCACAGGGATCCCAAACCTCCAGAGCACCTTGAAAGCCCCAAGGAGGGTGGTGGAGGCAGGCACAGGGTTTGGGCTGCTGTGGCAACACAAGGATGGTGCCAGGAACGGTCTAAAACTCTCAGTTCCCTTCTTTCCACTGTGAGATTACCAGGAACAAGTCAGACTTTGCAGAAGCACTGAGAAACTTCAAAGCATAGTGGGTTTGGGGGAGTCCCTGGGGACTCTCACTCCTGTCCACCCTGTCTGGTCTCAGACAGCACGGCACGGAAGGAGCGGGAGGTGATGCTGCGGCTGAAGGAGGTGGTGGACAGGCAGAGGGACGAGCTCCGTGCCCAGGCCCACGAGATCGTCTGCAAGAGCCGGGACACGGAGGCGGTGAGGGCGTTGGGAGTTCAGGGGTGTGGTGTGCCAAGGGCCTGGGGACCTGCTTTCGTGTCACATCTTCTCCCCTGGGCTGTCACACCTGCTGGGGCAGGTGGCACTGGTGTCCCTGGCTGGGGGCACTGCCTCACCTTTGGCTGCCCTGGGCCCTCCAGCTGCAGGAACAGCTCCATCGCTTCATGGCCATGAACGAGGAGCTGCGGCACAAGGTGGCCGTGGTGCAGGCCCAGCTCAAGAGTGCTCTGGAGCAGAAATCAGACCTGGAGGCTGCGCTGCTGCAGAGCCAGAGGGAGACGAGCAGGAGGAGCAGGACAGCCCTGGAGAGCTGGCGGCCAGAGCCTGGTGTGGTGAGTCTGAGCTGTGGCCTCTTCTGCTGCTGGGCATCACCAACACGACCCCGCACTCCCAGCCTTGTGTGGAGCTTTTGGCACACCCAGACGTGGCTACTCAAGGCAACCCCACTGCTGAAAACTGAGCAGTGTGGTGTCTGCAGTGCCATTAGCACCTTCTCTGTAAAAGCTGTTATGGGTGGAGCAAGATGAGGTGGTGGGAGTTAAAACTAGATAGGACTCAGAGGATGAGGGGGGTTTGCACGTGTGGTGATGGCAGTGGTTGCTGGCTGAGATGGGGACATTTCTGGGACTTCTCCATTTTTGCCTGCATGTGCACTCAGCCTTTGGGTGGGGGTTTTGAGGTCTCTGCTTGCCTGCTGACTCTCTTTCCGCGCCCTCCAGGAGGGAGCCCTGTCACCCTCAAAGGAGCCGCAGCAGCAGGATGGGGACAGGAGCCCTGCTCACTGCTGCTTCTCCAAGGAGGAGCTGCAGCAGATCCTGCAAGAGAGGAATGAGCTCAAGACCAACCTGTTCTTGGTGCAGGAGGAGCTGGCCTATTACCAGAGGTGAGTCCTGTCCCTGCTCCCACCACAGTCAGGCAGAATCTTCCCCAGGCTCTTGGTTAACCAGCTGGCTGCTTTTTTACCAGGGAGCTGCTGAACGAGGAGAGAATTCCCAGCTTCTTCCTAGATGCAATGAAGTCAAATATCAAAAAACAGAGGAAAAAAATCAGAGCTAAAATGCTGGGAACAACGGAGGAGTCGGCAAGCAGGTGAGTCAGGCTGGGTGCTGGGATCCTCCTGTGCAGGGTGGCTGCTGGCTGGCCTGCTCCAGTGTTTCCATGTGCTTGATGCCCTGGATTAGAATTTCCCCAAGCCCAGAGCTGCCTCCTCCCTCCAGAGATCAAAGGTTTGATATCTGCAGTTGATGTGTTGCTCTGGCATAGCTGTGCCACAGGGGCTGGGCTTTGTGCTGCAACTCTGTAGTCAGGCATGGCCTGGCTAAATGCCATTTGTCCTTGCATGGATGTGACAAAAGGAGGCGAGGTGGTGGCACTGGGAGCACTGGACAAACTCCTGAGTGGCTCCAGCACTTGGTGCTGTGGCTCAGTGCAGGTTTACCCCATTTCTTTGTGCAGTGATGAAGAGGAGGGCTCCTGGCTCCCAGGTCATGGCACAGACTGTGTGGATGCTCAGCCTCCAGACTCCAAAATTAGGAGCTTGTAAGTTTGCTCCTGGCAGGGGCGGGAGGCTCTGCCAGTGGAGAGGTTTGGGGTTTGGCTGGGTCCTGGCACTTGCTGAGCTTTGATATGATGGGAACAGAGTCAGCAGGCTGGTGCAGGGCTGGCAGGGATGCTGCCAAAACAGGAGTTGCTGTTTTAGGGGGATCTGCCTTGTCCTGGGTGCCACATACTCCCAGGGCCCACAGCCAGGCTGTGTGCTGCTGCCACCACCACAGAGGGAGGTTTGGATTCCACATCCTCCCTGGGGAGGTTCTTCTCTCCCACAGCTCTTATCTGCTCTCTCTGCAGTTTTGGGCTGTGGTATCAGGGCAGTAGCAAAGATCCCCCCACATCCAGCTGCTCCGGAACCTGGGAAATCATTGACTCGCTGGACAACACGCAGCTGGAGCCAGAGGGAGAGAGCAAGGCAGGGTCCAGCAGCCCTGACAGAGCCACAGCACCACTCTGACCCCACGGGAACGGGAGCAGGATCTGTCCTCGCAGCAGAACTCCCTGGATCCTCTTCTTCCAGTGGATTCAAGAACAGCACAGCAGCCCTGGCATTTCCCTGTGCCATGGTGGTGGCAAAGCCACAGCGTGGGCAGGGGCCTACAAACCCACTGGGACACTTGGATGTGGGCTGCCAGCCTGGCATGGGACAGCTCAGCACCTCTGGGCATCTCTGCCCACCAGCCACCCTTTCACTGTGCCCACAGATCAGCTACAGAGGGGCCCTCACAGCTGTGCCCCCTCCCCACTGCTCCCTGCTTGCAGCTCAGCATGGTGGGGGTCTGCACCCTCTTCCTTCTCCACACCCCAGAAGGGATCTGCCCATCCCTGGTGGCTTTTAGCAAACCCCTCTGCTCGCAGCCCATGATTCCATTGCCCCATCCTGCTCTGTGGGTGTTTTACCTCACCCCTTTCTGTCTGTAGCTCCCCAATCCCTGCAATGTGAAGGTCCAGTTGGGCTGTCCTGGGGTCCCCACACGGCTGGGAGGGGCTGAGCACACTGCACTGGGTGTCCAGGAGCCATCAGGATCAGCACCACCAGGGCCACTCCTGCACTTCTCAGGCATGGGGTGAATCAGTTTTGTTCTGGCACCTCTTCCTGCCACCTCTGGGACTTGGCAGACTGGAATTATCCTTGTGTTCATGGGGGTGAGTCAGTCCCCCTCAGATCAGGTACTTTCAACCTTTAATTTGGAAATAAATCAGTCTCTTGTTTTTCCTCTGAGGTTCTGGCTGCAGCCTCTGCTCTCTGCTTGGGAATGATGCTCTTAGATTTCCCTTACCCTTCTCCTAATGGCTGTGCCTCCTGAGCCCCTTCTGGTGGGGAGTGGTCTCCAGGGGGGTGATCCCACAGTGCTGGGCATGTAGGAGTTAATTCCTGCACAGCCAAGGGGAGCACTGTGCTTCTAACCCGGAGCCCCCCTGGCTGAGCTGGCCTCGGGTAGGAAAAAGGTGTTTCCTGTGCATCTGCTGACACAAAGCTCCTGGGGACGTGGCGAGGTGGGACAGTGGCCAGCAGCCCTTCAAAGGCCAGCACAGGTCAGGCTGACATGGGGACCCCTCCTCTGAGCCCTTGCCAGGGGCTGGCAGTGCCATGGGGTGGCTGATGGGGGTTGAGGCAGGGGGTGGCACTGGATGCCTTGTTTGGGTTGGGGGGATGTTGGCTGGAGCAGTTTTGGCACAGGAGGAGTGGGGTGACACAGGTGAGATATTCAGGCAGGTGCCAGCCCCTGTGTGGCTGTGCTGAGCCCCTGGATGCCCCTTTCTGTGGCAGGGTGGTAGCCAGGGCCAAAAATAGCCCAGGCAGCAGCAGCAGCATTCCCTGCTCCCCTCCCCGCCGCACCCCTGACGTCTGGATCGGGGCGCCTCCTCCCGCATTTCCTCAGGAAGAAACCCAAGGCTGGAGGGAGGAAAAGGCCGCCCCACGGGTGGGACAGCACAGAGGGACACCAGCGTGGGGCTGGGGAGCCACCAGGACTGGGGCCCTGGTGCCCTGCTGGAATGGAGAGCGCCCGGCCCATCCTCTGCCTCCAGCTGTGGCTGTGGGTGCAGAGCTCTGCCCAGGAGCTCGACCCCGAGGGCAGGAACGTCTGCAGGTAGGTGCCACCGGGGTCCCCACTTGTGCCACTCCATCTCCTGGGGGCTCTCAGCAGCCCCATGGCGTTGTCCATCCCTGCTCGCACGGACAGGGATGTGCAGCCTGGCACAGCGTGGGTGCAGAGGCTGGGCTGGTGCTGGGGAGCGTGGCTGGGGCATGGCTGGGCATTTGGGGCATCAGATCCCTTCTCCAGGGTTTATTTCTCATTCACCCTCGGAGTGCAGGGCAGAGGGGCAACATGGGACCCTTGGCAAAATTCATCGTGGGGAAGTGTCACTGTATCAAACCCCAAAGAGCTTCGGGACTGATGTCCCCTGAATTTATTGCCACGTTGCCTCTCCCATTGTCTCCCATCATTTCGTGGCCTCCACTTCAGTGCGGGTGAAGCTCTGAGCCTCTCCCAGGGCATGGGACACCCTGCAGGCTCCGTGGGGACATTCCCAGCGCTTGGGGCAGCCCAGCCCAGCGCAGCCGCCCACTCGGGCTGCAGCCTCCGAAATTTCCTTCTATTTTTCTGGTTTCCTTCCGGAGCTTTGCCCTGGGGGCCAGGCCGCCTTCTCAGCACTGGGGCGAGGATCGCTTCGCTTTGGCCGATGCCATGGAGCCGCCCTGGCCCCCCGGCTCCGGCTGAACCCCCTCCCCGTGTCCCGCAGGTTCCCGGCCGGCCCGGCGTGCTGTCCCGGCTGGAGGCAGGACGGGAGGGCGTGCACGGTCGGTGAGTGAGGGATGGGGGTGAACCCCAAAGCCTGGTCCCCACGCTCATCCCTCGGATCCTCTGGGTGCTGGGGGAAGCCCTGCACTCTCCTTGGGCACTGGCAGTGGGGTATCGCCCCGCGGGTACCCCCGGCTGCTGAGGCGGAGGGATGGAGCGGGGTTTAGGTTTACTTGGGAATGCTGTCCCGGCGGGAGGTGGGTGGCTGGCAGGTGGGGAGAGTGCTGAGTGCCTTTCCTGCCACACAGCCGTGTGCGAGGGGGAGGACGCCTGCAGAGAGGGCGAGGTGTGCCTGAAACCCGGGCTGTGCCGCTGCAAACCCGGCTTCTTCGGAGCAGACTGCAGCTCCCGTGAGTGCCATCCCCTCCCTCAGCCCCTGCCATGCCCCTTCAAACCTGCCGGGTGCTCGGGGGGCTGCCGGGCTTCTCCGCATCCTGCCCGTGTCCTTTCCCCCCGCAGGCTGCCCCGAGCAGTACTGGGGCCACGACTGCAAGCGGAGCTGCCCGTGCCACCCCAACGGGAGCTGCGACCCCGTCAGCGGCCACTGCACCTGCGACCCCAACCACTGGGGAGGGCTCTGCCAGTTCCCCTGCCAGTGCGGCCCCCACGGCCGCTGCGACCCCCTGACCGGGCTGTGCCGCTGCGAGCCGGGCTGGTGGGCACCAAACTGCAGGAAGCAATGCCAGTGCAACCCCTCCACCTCGCACTGCGACCCCCTGACCGGGCTGTGCCGCTGCCTGCCGGGCTGGTGGGGCAGGAGGTGCAGCTTCAAGTGCTCCTGCAACGTCTCGCCCTGCGCGCAGGAGACGGGCAAGTGCGAGTGCCTGCCCGGATTTTGGGGACCGGCGTGCCAGAGGCGCTGCGACTGCGGGCACGGCTCCTGCAGCCCTGCCAGCGGCCACTGCACCTGCGAGCCCGGCTACCAGGGCAGGAGCTGCCGGGACCCCTGTCCCGCAGGGAAATACGGGTCTCAGTGCGTGCACAGGTGAGATGGGGAGCAGGGGAATCCAGCGGGCTGCAGTCAGATCGAGGGGGAAGGCGCTGCAACTAACCGTGTCTGTCCCTTTGGCTGGGCAGGGGGACCTGTCCTGGGTTTGAGCATCCCAGGTTGGATGCAGCATCAGCATTGCCCCAAAAGAAGCACCTCGCTAATGCCAGCAGAAAGTGTTACCCTAAAATCTGGTTGTCCTTAATCTCACTCCCCATGGTGATAAAGCAGAACCTCTCAATTCAGAATATTCTGTGATTCTGCTGCCCTCCTCTCCTTTTACTACCACAGAGCATTAGGCATCACTCTGTATTTCCCCTTGATCCAAAATGATGCTCAATGATTTTATGGGGTGAAACCTGCTTTTTGTGGGGTGAAACCTGCTTTTTGGGGGGTGAAACCTGCTTTTCAGGGCTACAAAGGTGGGCGTTGTGACCTCAGTACCTCTCTGCCCACACAGCTGTGGGAGCTGCAAGCGCAGCCAGCCCTGCTCACCCGTGGATGGTTTCTGCCTGGCCTGCCAGCCCGGCTGGAACGGGACCCTCTGCAAGGATCCCTGTGCTCCTGGATTCCATGGGGATGGCTGCCTCCAGCCGTGTCCCCGCTGCCAGCACGGGGAGCCCTGTGACCCCCAGACCGGGTCCTGCCTGCGCTGTGACCCCGGCTGGATGGGACCCAGGTACACCCAGGGGTCCCTGGGGGTGTCCCCGCTCTGGGCTGCAGTCACTGATGCTTTGCTCTGTTTTGGCAGCTGCAACAACTCCTGCCCCGTGGGCACCTTTGGTGATGGCTGCCAGTTCCTCTGCCCTGAGTGTGTTTCGGGGAGCTGTGACCCTGTGACAGGAGTTTGCATCTGCCAGGCAGGCTACTGGGGAGACAGGTAACACTGGGATAATGCTGGGAGTGGGGCTGGGCTGGAGCCTTGCTCTCTCTGGGGGCATTTCCCTCCTTTCCTTTCTCTTCCAGCTGCAATGACACCTGTCCTGAGGGGTATTTTGGAGTGAATTGTTCCTCACCCTGCCAGTGCTCCCGGGGAACCTGCGACGCCGTGCAGGGTGACTGTGTGCTGAGTAAGATTAACCTCACTTTACTCCTTGGCACTGGGCAAGGGGCAGTCACATCCTCCCTGGAGAAGGTGCAGGGGGGCTGGGATGCATCCTGGTGCCTCCAGGCCCCACTGGGAGTTGTCAGCTCCTGCTCTCTCCATGCAGGGCTGTTCTATAGGCGTCACAGCCACAGGACATGCCAGACTCAGCCCATCTCCTCACACAGGTTTGAAGGACCATGGAACCCTTGCAGCCGCCATCCTTGTCCCTCTCCTGCTGCTGCTGCTCTGTGTTGCCTGCTGCTGCTGTGGTGCTGGCTCAGCAGATGCCAGAGACAGGTATTTTTTCACATTTTTCAACATTTGACACAAATCCCCCATCTCCCGTGTCCCTTGATGTCCATCTCTGCTCTGCAGGGCGGCTGTGCCAGATGATGATGTGGTGGCCAGGATGAAGCACCATGTGCAGGGGGTGTTGGCCAACCTCAGTGCTCTCATGCCCTGCTTTAACCTGGGGACCTCGAAACTTCCCAAAGTCACAGGTGAGCAAAGGAGAGCTGCTGACAGCACTTCCAGCAGTGCTGCACTCCTGCGCTCTCTGCCTGGGGGGAAGCCTGAAACCCCTCTTCCCCGAGCACCCTGGGGTGCTCAAATTCAGCTGGGTGTCTTCTCCTCCCCAGTTTCCCATCACGACGTGGAAATCCCCTACAACCCCAGTTTTATCGAGCCACCATCATCTGCGTGGGTTTCAGACAGCTCCTTCTCCTCCTTTGACACCGACAACGAGGGACCGGAGTACTCCGTCCCTCCCAGAGAAGGTGACGCCCGTGGCTGCTGCTCCTCCTCCTCTCTGATCACCTCTGGGGTCAATCCTGGCAGACCCGGGGAGCTGTGCTTGGCACAGACTGTGTTTATTTCCTTGTCCTCGTTTTCCTGTCTGCAGGGCTGTGTTTGGCTGTGTGCCATGGGACGTGCCCAGTGGGGCACCCCCATTTCACAACCTCCTCCCTGGGAAACCATGCCAGGGACAATCCTGTTGCATCAGCTCCTGTCCCAGTGTCCTCAATTCTGTCCCCGGGGAGGGTGGCAGCTGCGGCAGCCCTAACACGTGTCACCTTGTCCCGCAGGCATCCCGCTGCTGGGCGGTGCTGAGCTGCAGGATGGGGCATCTCCCCCTGGCCAGGCACTCCCAGATCCGTCAGCCTTCGACTCCGAGGATGTCTCGCAGCCCTTCGCCATCCCCCGCACCTCCAGCATCGCCAAGGCCAAGCGACCCTCCGTGTCCTTCGCCGAGGGGACGAAATTCGGGGCGGCCGAGACGCCCAGCCCCAGCAGGAAGCCCAAGGCCCCGTGGGGCCCATCCAGGCTGACCCCACCGCCGGGGGATGTGGCGGCCGAGCCCCCCAGCGAGCGCCCCGCCAGCGATTGCTACGAGAACCCCGAGCCCCTCAGCAAGGGGGACGAAAGCCACCGGCCATCGCCACGGGCCACGCCGGGGGGACGCCGCAGGATGGTGTCCAGCACCAGGCATGTGGCCCAGAGAGTGGAGGCGCTGGAAGCAGCTGCGAAATCTGGCAGCTGGGAGGCGAAGGGGAAGAAGGAACACAATGTCACCACCATCTACATGATGGTGGGAACGGCCGGGCAGGACCCCAAGGCGGAGGGGAGTGGTGAGGGACCGGTCCAGGCTGTGCTGAAGCGTCTGGGCAGCTTGCAGAGGGGCAAGTGGGCTGCGAAGGAGGAGCCCAAGGCGAGGAGGAGCATGGAGGCCATCCAGAAACCTCCTCGCCGGGCTCTGGCGCAGCGCAGGGACTCGGAGAACAGCAGCAAGCAGAGGGAGAGTGTGCCGGGGGCTCCTGCCGAGTCAGCCCCTGGCAGGCAGCAGCATCCCGCTGCCAAGAGACTGTCCCTCCTCCTGGCATCTCTCTCGTCAAAAAACACCGGTGCCCAGGACGGGGCCAGCGAAACCCTAGGTGCCACAGAGAAGGGCAAAAGCCCGGAGTTAGCTGGCAGCCTCGAAAGGAAGGGTCAGGCTGCCGCGGAGGAAGAGCCGAAATACGAGAACGTGGCCGGCAGCGGGGCTGATTCGCCCTCCGGGCCCGGCAAGGAGCTGCCGGCCGCCCCTCCGGCCACCTGAGCCGGTACCGCCCGGGCTGGGACCGCGGGAGCCGCCGGGCTCCTCCTGCCCCAGCCCGGGGCAGCCGAGGGCCGGCTCCGAGCCGTGAACTGGAGAAGCTTTGAGCCTTCCCGGGGACCTCCTCTGCTCTGGAGCCTCGCTGGGGCCACAGCGGGGACAGCCTGTGGGGTTGTGGTGCTTGAGGGCTGTTTTCTGCTCCTCCCTGCCCTACCAGCCCCGCTTGTGTCTGCACAGCCCCGGGGGACAGCGATGCTCTGGATGCTGTGGTGGCACACTCAAGTCCCTGTCACCACTAGGGATGTACCCAATGCGGGGCTGCTGAGTGCTCAGCTGGGAAATGCATGCACAAAATCCAGTCTCACCCCGTCGGTTTTCACCTTTCCCAGTTCCAGTGATGTAGCTCAGAGCCTCTTGCTGGAAAGGTGTTTCTCACTGAAGGGGATTATTTTGTAGAGCTGGGCTGAGGAGAGATGATGGGCTATCAAAAGCAGCTTCAGAGAAAATGAATTTTAGCTGCTTATCTCAAAGAGCATCTGGGTCTGCAGGGGTTTATCTGTGTGGCTCTGGCTTCTGTGGCAGGCCCTGGCTGCCTTTGCTTCCATGTGGAAAAGCTCGTGGCAGGACACAGTGTGTAGTGACAGCCTTTTAAACTCCACACAGTTCCAAGCTTCAGTTGTGCAAACGTGGCAGCTGGGCAGTGACCATCTACCTGTGCACCTGGCGCCGTGCTGATAAGGATGGAAGTTGCCTGGAAAATGAGATTTCCAGGGGTGCCCTAAGCTCCTGCCACCTCCCACGCCTCATTCCTGCTGTGAAGGCAACTGAGATGCCAAAAAGGATTTGCAGAGTGATCTGGTTTTAGATGTATCTAAGTAGTAGAAGGTTTTTGTGTATTTTTTCTGTTATTTCGCATGGTGCGAAAGCCTTGGAATGAAAATTAAATGCCCTTCAGGAGATGGGTTTCCCAGTCACCCTTGCAGTCAAAGATACTACCAGGAATATTCTCCAGAGTGTGGAAACTGTCAGCAGCCTCAGGCTTGTCGTTTGGGAGGGTTTTTTTAGGAGGGTTTTTTTAGATTTTCTGGCTCTGTTGAATTCTGAATTCTCACTCACTGAGCTGAGCCCTGCGCAGAGCCCGAGACTGGAGTGCAGGAGAAATGTGGGTGGGCTATGAGTGTCCAGAGCCCCTCTGCTGCAGCCTGCACCTCACACATCGTGTGCAGAGCTCCACACAAATCCTTCAGCCGGGGTTCAGGGTTTGGGGTGTTTCAGAAAACACAGTGGGTTTTGCTTTTTCCCTTTTGCTTCCCATGGGTGCTTCTCCATAGCACAAGGCACCAAATCCCCACGGTCTGATGTGGCTGAAGTTTCCAGTTTTGCAACCAGCACGAAGCACCCTTTCCTGCAGTGGAATCATCTGCTGCTGTGATTATAACACCAAATATTCTGGCATCCAAATAAAACTGCTCATCCTGGCAGGACTGGAGCAGCAGCTTGTTCTGCACGGGCTTGCTTTTGTTTTGACACCATTTTATGACAGCAGCTGGGACAGTCCCACATTTGATTTATAAGCAGCCATTTTTTGTCCCTAATGGGATGGATATTTTGAGCCTGTGAGCTGAGCAGCGCTGTGCCAGAAGTGAACCAGCCACGTGAGCCAGTTCACTCTTGGTGCAGCATGTAAATAGCTGAGAACAACCTGACAGCCTCAAACCTGTGCCTGGCTTGAGAAAACGCTGCTGCTGGGAGAACCTTCCACGTCCATGGAGCCAGGATGTTTCCTCTTGCTTGAAGATGAAGCATCTTGGCCGTGTCTGGGCAGTGAAAAGGAAATGAGCTGCAGATTTCCAGCGTGTGGCTGCCCATGCACGCTCCTGCAGCGTGGCTGCGCTGGTGTCTGCTGCTGGGGATGCTTCCTCAGCTGTGCTGTGGGGTTAGCTCGGGATGTGGGAGGGCTGAAGGCAGAGCTGGCGGGTGAGGCAGAGGGAATCTCTTCCCATGCTGGATTTGTGACTTTCCAAAGCTGCTGCAGTGTTTGGAAGGCAGGCAGGGGAAAGGGATCCACAGGTGCTGTCTGTAAGCAGAGAGGCTGGAGCTCTTCCTGGGGTCTGTCCTTGTCATCCTGTCATCTCCTGTCCCAAACTGCCCAAGCCTTTGAAGAACACCACATCATTTAGCCCAGTGGCTGTGCCAGAGCAGGAGCTGTCACCTCCCTCCCAGCTAAACTCATTCCCGGCCAGTTTCTAAAAACACGTCTCTGTGTCATTGCTGTTCTTCAGCTTCACTTTATTTTTTTTCTCCCCATGCTGTTTACTTAGTCCCTGGGGTATTTATAGCTGGCCATGGATCACCTGATAGCTTTTCTCCTTCTAGGATGTGAAAACTGAACCCCCCCAGCTCTTGCTGTGGCAAAGGGTTCCCGTGATCCCAAAGAGCCCCCGAACCCTCCTCATGCTCCTCCCTGTCAGAGTTTGTGTTTCTTGGACACTGCAGCCAGGTCTGGGTGCTGAGCTCTCCTTCTCTTGTGCTGCCTCAGCCTTCTTCTACCTCTGTTAAACACCTGGCGCCGGTCCAGGCTGCCTTGTTTTCTTTGGAATTTTTGTTTGTTTGTTTGCATTGGCTTAAATCCACTTTCCAGCTGTTGAAACGTTTGATCCCTCTCCCACAGCCAAGGCTGAGGAGTTTCCTCTTCCCGCCCACCGCGGGGATGGAGTGGTGGGGACACGTCCGTCTGTCTGGGGCCCTCTGCTTCCTCTGGGGTGTTTACCTGCCACAAATGCTGTTTTCATCTCCTTTGGCTGAGAAAATATCCCCTATAAAGATTCTAGGGATTTATGGCCACATCCTCTGACCCAGAACCTCCCCAATGAGGGATGGATTTATGGAAGGTCTACAAACACCTCAGAGGAATGCCGTGAAAAATAATTTTTACAGAAGAAAAAGAAGTCAGAGTTGTGGTGAAGTCAGATGTGAAGCTGGCTTGTAATGATATTACTTTATTTCATGAAACTGGGCAGTGTGATCAACAGGTTCAGTGAGGGGATTGTCCCCCTTTTACTCTGCTCACCTGAGACACCACCTGGAGTAGTGTCCAGCTGTGAGGATTCCAACATAAAAAGGACAGGGATGTGTTGGAGCAAGGCCAGAGGAAACCACAATGACGATCAGAGGCTGGAGCAGCTCTACTATGGACAGGCTGAGAGAACTGGAGGTGTTCATCCTGGAGTAGAGTGCAGGGAAACTCCATAGCACTTCAGTGCCTAAAGGGGATCCAAGAGAGCTGGAGAGGGACTTTGGACAAGGGATGGAGTGACAGGACAAGGGGGAATGGCTGACAGAGGGTGGGGTTAGATGGGATTTTGGGAAGAAATTCTTGGCTGTGAGGCCCTGGCACAGTTTGCCCACAGCAGCTGTGGCAGCCCCACCCCTGGAACTGCCCAAGGCCAGGTTGGATGGGGCTTGGAGCAACCTGATCTGATGGAAGGTGTCCCTGCCCATGCCAGGAGGTGGAGCGAGATGATCTTTTAGGTTCCTTCCAACCCAAACCTTCCTGTGACTCTTTGAATGAGCCGGGGCATCTCAAGGGCTCATTGCCTCTGTCCAGCTGTGCCGTGAGGGCGGTCAGCCGCGGGCTGAGCTGGATGCCTGTTCCCAAAATACCCTTTTAACGGGGTGGAGCAGCTTCTCAGGGCTCTCCTTGAGCAGGACAGGCAGACTTGGCAGGACGGATGCGGTGCCCGTACCGGGGCAGAGGAGCAATGCCGCGGGTGCACGGCTGTCCTCACCCAGAGCGGCGGAGAGTGCAGCGAGCCCCGCGGGGCGTTCCCGCTGTCCCCGGGCGGGGGAGCCGCATCCCGGTCTGGTCGCTTTTCCCTGAAGGAAGGCGGCGAGCCGGACAGCGCTCGGGTGTGTGTGTGTGTGTGTGTCTGTGTCTGTGTGTGTGTGTCTGTGTGTCTGTGTGTCTCTGTGTGTGTGTGAGGGTACTGAGGGCACCCGCACACCGGGAGGGGTCCCGGGGCACAGACATCGAGGCGTACGCAGGAGTACGGGGGGAATCTCGGCGAGTACCGGAGGAGAAAAACATCAAGGGATATTTTTCTCCTCCGGTACTCCTGAGGGTGGGAGGTACTTAGGGGAGTAGATACCGGAGGTTACCGGGAGAAGATATCAGGGGGTACCGTGAGATCCCAGGGGAGGATACGGGGAGGTCCCGGGAGGGGCTATCAAGCATCCCGTGAGGGGATCCCGGGGGGGATTTGGGGGGTCCCGTGAGGGGGATCACGGGAGAAGATCCCGGGGGTATCCCGTGGGGATTTGGGGGGTCCCGGGGGGGATCCCGTGGGGATTTGGGGGGTCCCGTGAGGGGGTCCCGGAGGAAGATCCCGGTGGGATTTGTGGGGTCCCGTGAGGGGGATCCCAGGAGAAGATCCCGGGGGGATCCCGTGGGGATTTGTGGGATCCCGTGAGGGGATCCCGTAAGGATTTAGGGGGTCCCGTGAGGGGGATCCCGGTGGGCTCCCGTGAGGGGAAGGGGGGGGGGGAGCGCGAACCGGCACGTGCCCCAGCGGCAGCGGCGCGCGCGGCCATTGGCTGAGGCGGCGGCCAATCAGCGGGCGCGCCTGTTTTGCCTCGGAGGGCGGATAAAAAGCCCGGGTGGGACCGCGGCGGAGCGGAGCGGGCGCGGCACCGGCGGTGAGCGGGGCACGGCACCGGGGGCACCGGGAATACCGGGGGCACCGGGAATACCGGGGGCTGCCCGAGCGCCGGGGGGTTTGCATGGGAGAGGGAGGGTGGGGGGCATCGTGGGCTTCAGGCGTGGGAGTGGCCGGCGGCGGGAGAGCGGATGGAGAGGGGAGCGTGGGTGGGGGGCTGGATGGCGAGGAGGGAGGGGGATGCTGCGGGGTCTTTGGGGAGCGCTTTGGGGGATGCTGCGGGGTCTTTGGGGGATGCTTTGGGGGATGCTGCGGGGCTCTTTGGGGGATGCTGCGGGGCACTTTGGGGGTGGGGGATGCTGCGGGGGTGATGTGAGGGTGGGCTGTGCTGGGGGACACTGGGGGGCGGCTGGCAGTGGGGACAGCGAGCTGCGGTTCTTGTCGCAGAGAGGATGGCTGGGCTGGGCAAGGATAGCGCGGCTGGGGAGGGGGCTGTGCAGGGATGAGGAAGAGGAGGTGATGGAGGAAATGCGTTGTGGGCTGTGCTGGGGCAGCGGGCCTGCGCTGTGGGTGGGGGTGGGCACGGCTGCAGGGGGCTCTGAACTGGTTTCTGTGGATGGGAGGGGGCCCTGACCCCCAAGCATCACTGCTGGGTCAGACCCCCATCCTGCCAAAGCAGCCGGTGCTGGGGTCTCTCCAGTAAGGGAAGCTGCCCTGGCTAGCTGTGTGGCCAGCTCCTTTGCCCACAGCGCAGCCTGAGGTGTGCCTGGGCTGGGAGAAGCCTTAGCTTGGCCCAAAAGGGCTACCTGCCTTGTGACACTCGGGGCTCCCCAGGGTCAGGTTGTCCCCTTGGCCAGGTGTGTTCCCCAGTTTTCCCGCTCTCGTGGGCCCCTGGGGCTGGGACAAGTGGAGCTGGACACTGTTAATGCAGCTCCAGCATCTGGGGCAGCCTGGAGATGCCACTGAGCTGCGGTGTCCCTCAGCTCTTTGATCTGGCAGGCAGCAAAAAGTGCTCCTTGGTGAGCCATTGGTGGTATAAACTGCATTCAGAAAACCCTCACGCCCCTTCCTGTGCTCCTGGTGGGTCTCTGAAGCCACCTCTGGGATGTGGGGCTGTGTCCCCCATCCCAGCCCTGCCCTATGGCAGTTTATTCCCCAGTGGGCTCCAGGCTGTTCGCTGCATTTTCATACCTGGTGCTCAGGGAGTGGAACACAGTCCTTGAGCAGAGCCCTGTGTCACCCAGAGTGAGCACCCCAGGGGCTCTTCCAAGGGCACCTGTGCCTCCCCCATCCCTCCAGGTCACTCGGTGAGCTGGCACCTGCAAAAACCAGTTCTACACAGTGCCTGGCACCCAGCAGGCAGCTTTGCCTGGGTGCTTAGTGGGGAGATCCATTAAACCACAGGGGTTTTAATGCTTTTTGAGCAGCGTGTGGACTCACTGGGTGTTGCTCCCTGCAGGTTGAGGCTCTGAAGGAGGCCATCCCCCCAAGGCAGCCATGGCCCCCACGCTGGCCACGGCGCACCGGCGGCGCTGGTGGATGGCGTTCACAGCCATCATCGAGAACCTGCTCTTCTCTGCCGTCCTGCTGGGCTGGGGGTCCCTGCTCATCATGCTCAAGGCAGAAGGGTTTTATTCCTACCTGTGCTACGGGTTAGGTAAGCACGCTCCGGGCTCCTCTGGGGATAAGCTGCTGCTGAGGTTTGCTGCTGTGGTTCCCTGCTGCAGCGTGGTGTGGAGGTGGTTGGAGGGGGGCTGAGCTCCATGTGCATCCCAGGAGAGAAGGAAGGGATTTGTGCTCCTTCCTGAAGCCAGTGGCATCCTTGTGATGGAGCAGTGTG